GGAATTCTGAATAAATGCCACTCCTACATTTAATTCAGGAGGCTCTATGTACTTAGCAGTTCTAACACATTGAAGATTCTTGGACATATCACTCTTCTAATATTCTAGAACAGAAACCTCAAAAGGATCAACAATGTTAAGGATGAAAACATTGTCCAGCCTTTCCTAATTAGGTAAAACACACATTTTCACCATTTTTAATGATGACAAATTATAATTTTAAATTCTCACAAGCAGAAAACTGGCAAATAAGTTTTAAAAGTCATAACTTCTATAATCTAGATCAGATACGCTTTAATCTGTTCAGAATAATTGCCTCACTTAAAAGATTTTACTAATCAAGCTCTAGTGTCTCTGTAAAAGCTGCCCAAGTACCCATGAAATGTTTAATTATCCACCTGTACCACAAATGCCTTTGGATAAACTATATGTATATATAATAGCTGTGTGTATACCAAGACTGTAAATACCCTAGATTTATCTACGACATATTAAAAATAGCACCATGACTAGTAAAATAAGCCTCTTCTTAAAAATGGCTTCTTTAAAAAATCATACTCACTGCTCTGCAAATAAGTTTTAATATACAAATATTTATAGGTTCAGAATGTTTCCAGACTGCTATGGTATCATCATTTTTACATTACATACTTTTCATTGAAATTAATTCGTGTGTTAAATCGTTCTGTAACAGTTCCATCACACATTTTGTTCATTACAAATAGAACTGTTTTGAAGGTTATGTTCATTATTGGGTAACGTATCACTGAACACAGTGAGTGGAAAGCATTAACTGTTTCAAGATAATCAAGAAATATTAAAGAAACCATACAGAATTAGGGTCAAAGACACAAAGTGAATTCTAAGTCTACAGAGAAACAAAATACTTACTTCAATTACTGTAGTGAATTGGATAAGACAAACAACATCCCATTGCAAGTCCAGAAGCAACCCCACCATTTGACTTGATAACTTATTACTTGAAGAATCATCAAATGGAAGGACAAACTGTAGATGGAGGGTTTAGAAGACAATTAAACCTTCCACCAATGATGGAGGCACATTATGTTTTCTTTACGGAAGGAGCTTAATTTTTAAACACTATTTAGACGAGCTTTGGCTTCAGAGGGTTAATGAAAAGATATACACAATGTTTATCCTAGACCACTAATTCAAACTGAGCTCAACTTGATGTTGCAGATGAAGAAAATAATTTATGAGCCGAGATAGCTCAGTCAGTATAGTGACTAGCTATGGGCTGGACGACCAGGGTTCGATCCCCGACTGGGGCAGAGGATTTTTTCTCTAGCCTCTGCGTCCAGACCGGCTCTGGGGCTCACCCAGCCTCCTCTACAATGGGTACCGGGGTCATTTCCCGGGTCGTGATGCTGACAACACTCACCCCCATCTAGTGCCGAGGTCAAGGAAGAGAGGAGCTATACCTCCACTCCCCACAAGCGCCTACATGGCGTATAGTGGGACAAAGTTTATGAAGAAAATAATTGAAAAGCATGAGAGCTACAGAATACATCTTACTTATCTTTGAATATACTTCTAATCTCAGTCCTTCATTATATTGATGGGATTAGTCTATAATCAACTACAAAATTTTAAATATGTATCAGTCATTCTTGTGTGGTATAACAACTTGGTAATTGTGAATAAAGTAATCATGACACTTCAAAAAAAGGAACTGCAGCTTGATATGGCTACTGAAAGATAAGAGCGCTCAATACACAGAGAGGCTGGATTTAACTCCGCCAAGACCACAGCAACCAAAATGGATGTTGAACTTGTATTCAGACACGTGAAAGAGAAGAGAAATATGGAGGTCACAAAGAATACGCATGAGAAATGATTCGAGGCTGATAAATTTTTAGTAATTGCAGATGGGGACCTCAATTTTAACAGATATGAAATGACACAAATAATTTAAGTTTCCTGTAATATTTAAAGAAATTAGAAAAGATAACTTATGCTCAGTGCATGATATTGTCTGATGTGTAATTTCGTAATGTCGACGATGTTTATCTTTCTTTAAGCTTATTGTGCTACAAGAATTTATCCCTGAAGGAGTAAATTCCACTTAAAACCCTTCACCATCTTCCATCGTTAGATATTTCCTTCTTAAACATAGAAAAAGGCTGTAGGGTTAATCAAGATTATGTTGACAATCCCAGTCACAATGATATCAAGTGAATGAAATTTTCCAAAACTGAAAATTAATTAAGAACTACCTATAGACAATTAAGTCTCAAGAGACGCTGAGTGGGCTGGCTCTTCTGTCCATGACATGGAAATGTTATCAAATTTTTATTACAGAGATTACATAAGAGTTTGCAGCACAGAAATTGAGGAAGGAGAATTTCATACAGGTAGTACTGCCACAGTAAATAAGGCAGATAAAATCCAAATCTACAGGCTGCTGCCATTAAAGTTTATTTTTAAATCTATATAAAATATATAAAGGGTCTCACATCCCCTAGGGATGGTCTTCGTCAAGAGGAGGAATTATTTTAAGTGTTTCGACAAAAGTATTACCAATTTATCTGGAAAAAATTATCCTTATTTAAACCTTCATTATTATTACCTACTAATTTTTAACACATTTTTTTATATGTAGTTTGTATGCTTATAAGAAAGGTGACAATATTTTACTGTTGTGTATTTTCAAAATAAAATCTATCAAAAACAGAAACACTAGAAGTTTTGCCTCCCGCTTTGTTTGTACACCAGTTTGGATACCACAGTCCATTTGCTAAACATTCTGAACCTAACCTAACCTAACCTAACCCAACCTAACCTAACCTAACCTAAGAGAAATATTCTACTGCAGATTTTGTCTAACACACATCAAATTAATTCCTACCACAGTCTAAGGAATGGTATAAAGCAAGAATGTCAACATTTACAAAAAAAAGTATTTGATTCTCTTATTTGTAACACATTAATCGTGTTTTAAAAGCTGAAAGAATTATGTCAGAACATTGAGACAAAATTCAATCATGCTGTAAAGGTAACAGAAATCAATTTTTAACAATAAAATTTGTCTCTGAAACTTTAGTTAAAATTAAATTATTTAAGTATCACATTCTCATAGCACAAAGAATTTAACTATTGCAGACTGTCTGTCAGACTTAAATAAAAAATCACATTCTAATCCAGCGTCAGCATACGTATACCAACAATATAAATAAAATTTTGAATTTATGTTAAATTACTGAATTAAATAAATGGAGTTCAAAGAGAGTACTATATCAGGTAGATTGAGAAAATAAATTTCAGAATTTGAATTTAATATTCAGATATTATGGGGTATCATGCGTTAGGATGTACAGTGCTCCGAACATTATACAGTCATATAATGTGGCAAGTAGTTATGAATTATTTTAGGCCTCTATAGTCATACATTTCTTGATGTAAAAAAATGCCAAGAACTATTGGCAAATTGTAAATGTATGCTTTTGATATAAGCTTTCTGTTTCCAGAGTAATAAGAGTTTTGAGACAAAAATAAAGTACTTATAAATAATTTGATTTCACGTCATCATTTAATTTAACAAACCACACCCAACATTTTGATACAAAATCAAATGCATTTTATTAAATTATTTGGTTCTTATTTGATGCTGGTAAGTTTATAAAAATGGAGGTAAATCTTTCATATAAAATTTTAACTTAAACACCATATCCTTCCATATATTTGATTTTACAACACCAGAAGTAGTATAAATATGCTACTACAAAAATAGCATGACTGAATACATCTCAATACTGCCGGTAGAGGGTTTTTTTTATATATATTTGCTGCGTAATGTATATGAATCATCCAGATGGAACGATTGATTTAAACACATAATCCGATTTTCCTGAATCTTTATAACACACTTTAACTTGGTCCCCTGAAATAACTCGAAATATTTTAAATAATTATTTATGTGTTTAAAACAACGTTTTATGAACAATATTTGTTATAACACATTCTCATATTTTGGATTATGACGAAACAAACTTCAAAGTAAAATTTTAAATTCTAAAAAAGAAGTATATTTAATATGTAAAATTATACTTTCGTATATTTTAATATTTATATTTTTAGATAGCAAGGTACCACATATTCTCCAAATTTAATCCTGTATTAATTTCTTCATGAATACAATTTCTGTTTGTTACCTTTTTTTTCAAAATATCCAATCACGCCCCATTTTCAAAGGATCTATTATGTATCTTTTGATTCACTGCTTTATAATTTAGATATTCCAGGAAACCAGTCGAAGTGCATTAATTCGATGTTTATATCAGAGAAAATATTTTAAAAAAGGCTACGTAACTGGGCAAAGAATTGATAGTCCTTCAATTTCTATTAGGCATTTAGCACTGAAGGATTCTTAGGCCTTTCTCTTTACTGACGAAGGAAAGTTACCCAAAACTTATAAACAAAAGTAGAATCCTTCCCACTACTGTAATGGGAATAAAGTGTAAAACTTTAATTCAAAGCTGTTATAGCAACAAAATTCAGTGAAAATGTCCTGAGCTGTAAGCTATATAAAAATTCTGTAGTTTCTGTCAAAACACGACGCGAATTGTAGCCCAGGAAAACTTCACTGAATCATACAAACATCGGTAGTTGATATGAAACGCACGCAGCAGCTAGAATGCAGTACGGAACATATTCAGCTATTAAAAATTTTAGGACTCGACACAAATTAAAGGCTTGCGTGGAATTGAAAATAAAGCTATAATATTATTACTGTAAAAAATGTTCGACCTCCATGTACGCCTTTAACCTTTTCTTTTCGTGTGTGTGTTTTTCTGTACGTAGATGCCACGAGGAACAGAAAATGATAATGTACAAATGGGAATGATTACCTGCTTACGAAACTGCTACCTACAAAGTTTTGAACTACGCTATTGACATATTTACAATAATCATGCTTTCTTGTTCATAAAATCTCCCTACATCTCGCTATTATTCTCAAAAAACATAACCTCACTTCTAAACTAATCTTTCTCCTTCTTGTCCATTTTTGTATCTTTCTTTTCTTTCTTCTTCTCAGCTTTAACTTCTTTCTTGCTTTCTTTCTTCTCAGTCTTCACTTCTTTCTTACTCTCTTTCTTGTCTGTTTTGTTGTCTTTCTTCTCTGTCTTCACTTCTTTCTTCTCTGTTTTGGTTTCTTTCTTCTCAGATTTTTTGTTCTGTTTATCCTCCTTCTTTTTATTTTCCACATTTTCATCTTTTTCTTTCTTTTCATCCTTCTTCTTCTCTTCTTTTCGTTTTTCTCCCTTTTTCTTGTCTTCTTTGTTGGCAGGTTTCAGTGGTGACCGGAAGTATGTGGTAGTGGTTGTGGTTGTGGTGGTGGTTAAATTTTTGAGCAGTGGAGTTGTCTCTAACTGTGTGACAATTTTCTGGGCACATCTGTAACAAAGCAAAAATGCCCAATTATTTACCCAGCGCCGTACAGGAACACGTGATTTAAATTCCTGTACTATGGACCACCACCAAAATTTTGTTAAACAAAAGCATTAATAGATTTTTGCACCTAATTCTTTGGTCAAGCATTGAAACACAGAGAGAAATTCCGATACGACAGCTACTAGAAACTGTTGTACAGAAGGCTGTGGATAATGGAACTTACCGTATCCGCGTGGAAGACGAAGCGGTTCGCTCTTTGCCTGCCCGGAACTCTCGCTGGAACTCTTTGATGGGCGGGAGGCGTGTGGGCTTCTCCGGCTGTTCCTTGTTAGACCTCACAGGTTCCTTATATTCCTGTATCCGAAGCTGAGAGTCAAATAAATTACACGTACGATTAAACTTCATCACATGCAAACACAAGGTTAAAACGGAAACGGGGCTGCCGGAAGGAGTTACACTGCAGGATTAAAAACTTAGCGGAGTTAAATGTATCACACGGGTAGTTGGCCTCAGCGTAAGCCGTGACGCGTGCTCGATAAATATCTAGAAAACAATTTAATAAGATTTTTTAATTTATAGATTTTAAAAAAACGCTGTTCCTTATAAATAGATATATTCTTATTGTATTCAATCAGAAATGCTTTAACGACGTAAAGGTAAAGTTAATGTATCCATCCGTTCTTGGTTAGCGTTGGTAACAATAGACTTGCATTTTGCAGTAGTTTGAATTAGGTTGTGGTTTTTTTGAATCGTGGTGTCGTAATAATCCGATAAAAGATAAAGAAGACGAAAATAACGGACATATTTATTCCTGTCTGCAACATTTGAAGGTTAAAATCAAATAGGAATGGAAACTCTCAAAGGATACTTTAGCATAATATGAAATATAAACAAACTCTCGTTTGTTCTTTACAGATTCACCATTGCAAAATTTCCCAGCCGAGAGTGGCGGTCTCTATTGATTACTTGTTCTGTTTGCACAAACCGCATTAGGTCCTGAACGGTTTAAATGTGTGTATTTATAACAGAATCTGTAATTCATGCAATTAGCATCGTACACACTGACCGTAATTTAAAATCAGTCATCATCCTAAACAGTACTACTATTAAATGTTGTTAATTGCATCACTGGATTCCAAAGCATAAATAATAGTCTTTGCCTCGAAATGTAAACTGGCATTTTTACACAAAGTGTAAAAATTTGACACATTTAAAATAATAGCCGGATTCTAATAAAGCAAATAGGTCATAAATTATAATTAATGGCCAAATCGTAACAACAAATACGTATTAGACGAAACATTGTAAACACCGGTCTGTTTTCAGATATTAGTTTGGTATTAGCACAGAAATACAGAAACGTTAATATTAGCCGAGTCACAGATGGTACACGCCGACTAGAACAAAAAATGATAAAATTTTGAATATCAACCGAGTGAGAGAAATATTGGTAAAATATATGCAACGATATTTTAAATATTGGCAAAAAGTTCGAATGGGAGCAGGGTTAAGTACCTAGTCGGCGTGCTGAAATTCGACCATACTTTACCCACTCTGCACATTACATCCTCCCGACAACGATCCTTACATGACACGACATACAACCTTTATCAAACAAAATAACTATGAATCACGTATAACCTAACCTAATCTAACCCAACCCAACCCAACCTAACCTAACCTAACCCAACCTAACCTAACCTAACCCAACATAACCTAACTTAACCCAACCAAACCTAACCTAACCTAACCTAACTTAACCTAAACGCATACTAATGTGGGATATAAATTAATGCCAAGTACAATATACGAAATCCTCAGAGCTAAAGCGACATATGTAAATTTTAAAAAATTTGTATAAAATAAGGTGTACTTTGATACCAAATTAAAACTGTATAGTAATTTGGTGTTCTTTCTAGGCAATTTTATAAGATGAAGTACAAATATATTTTCATTGATTACAAGGAATAAATCGAAAGCATATACTCCTAACACACTCCCTCTACACATCATTTTAAATATGATCATCTCACATAATAATGTCCTCCGTGTTTAACCTAGACATTCGTATATAAATGAATTAACGAGTAAATGAATAAGGCAGTCCCTTATTGATGAGAGACTGAGTAAGAGATTACATATTAATAATATTACGAACATAATTTGAAACTACATAAATATATATAAAGAATATCGAAATGAATGTTATGAAATATGCTTCACGAGGAGAGATGAACCTTTAAAGATCAATAAAAAATTACATTGTGAAATTTCAGGTTCTCACGGAGGCGAGAATAAATATGACTCCTCTGGCTTGTAGCGCCGTGTAGTCGGATAGAAGTTTACCGACGTTTCAGAGATGTTGCTTAATCCGTAATCACTGACATGAACGTAGAGTAACGGGACTGAACAAACCTTCATTGCTTGCGTCTGCGATTTCCGAAGCGAGCCCGTGGGTTGCCGTGGGTAACCTACCCTCGGCCCGGTACACTTCCCCGATTTGTTTGAGCTCTGACTGCCATTCGTCGCAGAACTCACGGAAGACACACCTGAAACAAATGAAACACGAGGCGTTCAGACACAGGCAAGCAGGAAGACGTGACGACGATTGTTTACACAAAGAATAGTTCAAAGACGCCCTGGAATGGAGTGCACCAACGCAAGTTTCCCAGATACGTGCGAATCAGTTTTAAAACCTGCATTAAACACAAACGAGTTGATAGTTTCACACTCCGGCCGCTTTATCACCAGAAAAGGATTATCCATCACGAATTGGATAAACACATTAAATATATAACAGGCCTACCTCATGCTTAGAAGAGTGTTAAAAGTAGGGTTTATACAAAAACCTACTTTTGAAAAAACCGGTTTTCGAATTTCAATATTTCCAAAAAACCGGTTATTCCGGTTTTAGAATTTAAAAACAAAATATAGTTAAAACATTAAAAAATATTTATACTTTTTAAATTTTTTTCAGTTTATTTAATATTTATGGAATTACAAAAATATAAGAAAATAAAATATACTCTATACAAAACCAAATAAAAAACTAAAGTCCGTACAAAATATGAATTATAAACTATGTCGTTTGCTAGATACAAGTTAAAAATTTGTAGCCTCTCGGAAACTAATTCTAATGTTTTCTTAGGATCGCAGGAACTAGCTATTGGAGCTAAGCCCAAATTAAAATCTTCCGCAAAATGGTGTACGTTGATATTCAAATATCTGCGATTTCTTTTGCTAGTCCACTCATCTAAAGTTATAGAAAATTTTTTCCCATTCTCCTTAATAATATCCAATTCATTTGTAATTTCACGTTTGGCATTGTCATGAAACGTATGAATGAGATCCATTACTCGAGAGTTGTTTTTTGGTAATGACTCGTATGAACGAGCTTGTTGTAATGCTATTAGTGGACAATCCATCCATTGCAGCAAGTTTTGCTATAATTTCTTCTAAACTGCTCTTTTTCAGAAATTAAAAATAGAATGCGTTTGTGGATTTGCATGTCAAACATTCGCCTGACTCATGAAAATTAGTTTTACTACAATATGCTTTTGCCCGAGGCGATTTCAAGTCAAAATATTAACGTTTTTAATTAAGTAATTAATTTTTCCATATTAATGCTAGTATCTAAAACCGGCTTTTTTAAATTTTAAAAATCGGTTTTCGAATTTTACAAATTTATGCAAATAAACCGGATTTTAAACCCGGTTTTTAAAAACCGACAAAACCTAGTTACAAGGTTGTCGAGTTCATACAAATTTCAGCAGCGATAAATTTACAATTCTGTTACCAGTAACTAGAAACGAAGATTTCTGTCTTCTGGATTGTTGCGCCGTGTAGTCTGGTAGAATTTTACCGACGTTTCGGAGGTCCTTGCTGCCTCCATAAACATGGCCTGGTGACGGGGGGATATTCAGCTACGAAACGTCGATAAACGTTTATCAGACTACACGGCGTAACACCCCAGAGGACAGCCATCTTCATACGATGGAAAATCACTTTTATCTGTTCATAATCTCGACACACGATAACGTTCTTACCCATAATTCATTATGTTCGCCTGTGCTGACAATGAATGATGTTTCCGTTCATTAGTAACAAAAGCATTTATTATATAATAATACGATGGAGGAAGAAGTTTAAAAGATAGGAGATTTGCTGACATTGACAAAGTACCAACTTTGGTTAAAAATAACCATACCCACTCGCTCTCAGCGTGATGGATAAAGCGTTGTCAAGATCCCGTCCCATCTTTCTTAATTACGAAACGCGGCATATTGTTACATCCCTGAATCCTGCATCAAAAGATTATACAAGGCTATCCCCTGCAGTTCCCTTATCCACAGACACAAATTTTCTGCAGTTCTAACAATGATTAATAACCCCTGCTGCTACGGTGCCTACCTAAAATTTCGTCTCTGTTGGTAACAGATGACGTCACTTCCCACAAAACCCGCTCACAGCACCATCATGCACGTGTTTAATCGTTTGCACAAAGGTTTAAAACCAGGACTGTCATAAAATAAACGGGGCACGGTAGAAACAACAAATACACACAAAAAATTTGGTCGGAAGTTCTCTCCTAAATTTTAACACGTATTAAAATAAGTTGATATAATTGCGTCATATTGTGAATTAAAATTTAATTATTCGTGTTTTTTTCCCGTCTAATCACAATTGTATATAAATAAAATTATACATAAGATATTAAAATATCATTTACATATTTGGAAATGCCCAGAAATTTTAGGCAATGTATAGAATGCCTAAAATCAGTAGGTAAAGTATGAAATTCATGCATTCTCTATGGAATGCCCAGGCATTTTATAAAATGCCTGGAACTTTTGGGCAATGCATGAAACTAAGAGTTTATTTTATACTTTGCCTACGTATTCTGTAGAATACGTAGGAATTTTATAAAATGCCTCAGATTATTGAGGCAAATTATATAAGAAAGAAGTTTCTATAATACGATTTATACAGTTTTATTTTATCTTAAACAATTTTTTTTTTAAATTCTCAAAACTTTTTTTATGTTCAGATTCAGTAGCTTGGCGTATTCGCGACTTCGCACAACCTCCATCTTGACAGCTTATCCAATCGGCTTTGATTAATTTGTCGACGTGGTTAAATGTCCACAGTTCTCGTTCAACAGACATCACACCTACGGCATTTGAAACGCGGGGACTTGTTCAACAAAATATATTCCAGACACACTTATTACTAAAAATTAATTTACTAAAAAAACAGGAACTCCGAAGACGGCTCAGAAACGCACGTATGTCTTCACATAACGTACTCGTAATCGTTGTTCGACTTTAACTAAAATTCGATATATCGACAAAAGTTGGTATAAAACTCGCCAATATCAAATTCCATGAAAATCCGCTCAGCCTTTCTTAAGTCGTTAATTGGAAAAAAAAACAGCGAAGGTAATGCGTACATTTTTTTAAAAAAATTGTAGTAGCGAACTCGTCTAAAAATTCTTGTTACTGATGTTAATTTCACTATTTCTAAACAGTACAAAATAACATTAACTGATGGCAATAATTATCGCATGAATATCGAATACCTTCCATTGAGGAATTTCAACTTGTATGCCACCAAGAGATAAAAAAAAAGGCTACGTATCTTTTGAGACCTCATGATGGAGACGGCATACGCCTCTGAGACATCGGCAGAATTGTACAACCCAGAAGACCCCATAATCGATTAACACAAAAATACACACTTACCGGACAGGGAAGATGATCCAGACGTCATGGAATACAATGACGCCGAATTTGGTACCGAGCCATGACTGCCCATGGAGTACTGAGACGCCGAGTTGGGAACCACCCACGTCTTGCCCACGGAGTAGCTAGACGCAGAACCAGGAACAACCCACTTACTCGTCCCCATGGTATACGTAGAAGCCGAGTTTGGAACCACCCAAGATTTGCTGCCCACAGAGTAATGCGACGCCGACGTCGGTAGGAGGACGCCCCCTGCCGTGACGCCGTTCTGCTTTAGCCGGAGGATCTTCGCGCGACAAATGACGCAACGGAGGGGCAACAGACGCTGGGACACTGCCATCTGGATCGTCTTCACGAAGCACTTCCGGCAAACGACGCGATGACCGCAAGGAGAAGTCTGCATCGTCGCTTTGGCGTTCACGCATATCACGCACTGAAACCACAAAGAGGTTCAGGTTACATGGCTACTAAATACAATGAATTTTTCTGGGGCTACCAGCCGTGTCAGGTGGCTGAAAGGCGAAAAACCACCAACGTTTCGAGAACCATCTTCGTCCTCGTACTCAGAGTACACCAACGTTTCGAGAACCATCTTCGTCCTCGTACTCAGAGTACATCAATGTTTCGAGAACCATCTTCGTGCTCGTATTAAGGGTACTTCTAGAAAACGTCGGTGTTTTCGCCTTTCAACCACCTGACACAGCTGGTAGCCCCAGAAAAATTCATTATATTTAGTCGCCGTGAAAGCTTCAGATCATACGCGGTGTTTACCGAAGTGTGGTAAGCAAAAGGGTAGAAAATATATTATTAAAAAGTGTCCCACAGTCCTCTCTGCTATCAGATAAACTCTGACAAAGAAAATCGAACAAATTCATCGATACAGATAAAGCTCTTAAGTTTCTGTACATTTATTTTAGTTTTCCTCTTAGCATTTTTAGTGCGAACCAAAGCCTTAATCCCAAGCGCTTGTGAGGGGCAAACACATTTTTTAAGTTTTTGGAACGCTGTGGTAAATATATTAAATCTGAGGTCATCACAGCGGTGAAGATTGGTTGTGACGACGAGTTGTCTTGCAGGCGTATACCAACATCTTGGACGAACATATGGAATGAAGTGAGAATCAGGTAGCATCCGAAAAGTTGGCATCTACCTTCAAATCCACAACGCAGAAGACCAAAATTGGTGTAGCAGAACTCATTTGGCGTTGAAGAAATGCCAATACCTAACCTCACAAAACTGAGTCTCGGCTATGAAGCCATCTATTACCTAGTTTCTGAACAGCAGGTTATCGTAGTACGCCATTACGCCAATAGATGGTGTGGTTGACGTGGCTGTACCTAATTCCAATATGTCCTGTGTTTTACGATAAAATCTTAAAACGTCTGTAGAGAAAATACCGCCATCACGAAGGAGACGAGGGACAGATAAAATTTTAGTTTCGTGTGTTTCAATATTTTGACAGCAAATAAAACTTAGATAGCAGACGACCTTTTCACAATGAACTTATCTTTCTTGTATAGATAAAAAGGGGGGGGGAACTGCATGCTTAAAGGTCACAGCAAAATTGTACAACGTTGTAACACGAGCGCGGCGCACCAAAATTTGTCAAAAACTTACGACTACACACCACAAAATTTAACCTCACGAAAAGGGGTTACGAAATTATACATGGCCATTTTCATATATCTACATATCAATCCTTGCTCTGTAAAAATGAATGCATAAGAAAACAAAATATAACACGCGCTGAATAAAACTATCAATGATTAATCTCTGTTTGTGTAAGAAGAATTCTAATTACGAAAGATAAGAGACTCCTTTTTTATAATTATAACATGGGAATATACAATTTCTTATAAAAATTCGTGGCACAACTGAAAACGTGTGGCGAAACCCTTGCACGTTTGGAGTTAAAATTAAGAGCTGATAGCATCTCGACATTCTTACTCCCCAGCTGGGGCTTGCTATGTCAAAAGTAGGCGAGGCCAGGGACCTTTAAATTGCTACTCTGCTGTATCATTTCCCCCCCTTTCGTTTTATTTCATCTTCAGTGACGTCATGTAACTAGACTGAACGTACTCATTCAATTATAAGTTATTCAGCTAGTCAGTTACATAGTTCGTCGATAAATTATTCAAGCCAATTCATAACTCAAGTCAGTTACATCCCTGATGTGAACAAGTTTCTTTTTCTCAGACGGGACGTTTGCCTTTGGGGAAAAGGAGACAAATTATACAAGGCTTGTTTTGTGGCAGGAGTTGATTCGTTACAGAGAAGACTGCAGTTGACTACCCCAAGGAACCCCCACCACGCAACTATGTGTCAGTTTTATTCGTAAGAGTCCGTCTTCGCGAAGCGTGTAACGTGAACGCATAATGAAGATGTTACATCCGTCTGCGTGTTTCCTCGCCAATTTATCAAACAGATATGAATGATATTAATTAGAGGGGAGTGCATGGTAACTAATGTCCTCTCTACTTTAACTAATGCTCGTGTTCGTGGATTCAATGGAACTTATTTTTAAACAAACAGTTCAAATCGAAGTTACTCATCTTCTTAAAAGTGACCCAATCGTGATATAAAAAAGTTAATACAGCCATAAAATATAAATATAATTCATGCCTTTATCCCTCCAACGCCCAATGGTAAGTATGTGTCCCACATGCTTCAAGGATTAATAATGTTTAATTTTGTGTTTATGATCTAAACGATAAATCGATTCGATCTTCCCTATTTAAAATTGTATATTACTGATTTTATTCTCTCGTTCATATCTGATTTTTACACAAGTATTTTCTTGTATTATTTAATTCTACAGCGTTATCGAACTTTATTATTCCCTATAAGCTAATTCTCCATCTACATTAATATAATATCTACTCTGAAACTGAGCCTTCCACATCCTTGTTTCCAAAAATGCTGAAGATAATTCAAAAATAGGACACAACGCCAAGGTTAGGTTAGCCTGAATTTCTTTAATAAATGACGAGCTACTTACAACGGAAGTACTAATTTACATCTTGCACGCAATTTGTTCGCTTTATCTCGTCTGATTAAGTTTGAGTTTAAAAATGTCAGATACAATTTGAAGACAATTTGTTGTAATTATACAAAGTTCAAGTTAGCAAGACGTTGAATCTTGGGTTATGCAAATCAATGTCACGTTCTTTATACGTAATTCCTTTTGAAATTACTTTAAACGGAGGCAACACCTAATTATATTCTTTCACTCTTGTCTCTCCGTGACCCAAACCTGCTGTCTTCATCTTCACCTTTGGGATTATGTCCCACAAGTCCCCGGTTCGAAATTAACAGCAAATTCTGGGAGTCTGTTGTCCATTAGACTGAGATGTATTGATCATTTTCGGGCTATTCGTCAATTTACTGAAGACCTGGGTATATTCTCTCAATTTTACTGAATCTAATCCATCACTGAAATCTTTCAAAACATTTCATTTCTGCGGCTAAAATTCCTCTTACAATTTCCCTTTTCATGTTTGTTGCTTTGTTTATTGACATTTGTTGTTTTAAGAGGATTTACAAAATGCAAAGGTTTCTAAGACAGGGTCGACTAGCATGATAATCGCAAATGATAAATTGGAGATGATGTGGAAGTGGTCGTGGACTGTTTTAAAGTACGATTAGAGAATTATCTTGGAATCCGTGAGGAAAATCACAACACCCTCTATAATAACAATCATCTCCCTGATGATGGAGGCAGCAAGGACCTCCGAAACGATGATAAACTTCTACTAGGCTACACGGCGTTACTACCCAGAAGACAAGTCATCTTCGGACTCACCGCCGTTAAAACCTGAAATGTTACAACGGTTTGGAATTCACAACAAATACACGTAAAAAGAACAGAAAGGGAAACGAAGTCTCAAATAAATTTTACGTTCCACGGAGCAGAGAGCATCTTCCAAACCTGTCTGCGATTGTCTCTTTTCCTTTCAACCCCATTGGATCAATAAGGAAGCGGGTTACTGGAACCCTCCCACGCGCCAGTTGAACCTGACGAACGAATTTCGAGGTTCAGTGGTCAGAAATGCTGCTTCGTGTTTTGAAAAGTCGTGGTTAGATCTCGGCCCTGGCGAATTTTCTTCTGAATTCACTCCCAGAACCCCTGTACCAAAACTCGGGACCAACGTCTTCAATCATGCAGTAAACTCCTTGGCTTCCCAAATTTATCATTCGTCATCGTCCGCCACTTTCCAATTCATGCAAATATTTATTATTATTTAGTGTTCTGTCTGACGACAGGTCCATATGAACAGGATCCTTCCATCCTTTTCTCGGACTGGGACCTGTTCATATACGTTCTTGGCAGACGATCCAGAAGTGGTTTGCCATTGCCTTCTTCTGTGTATGAATGGAGTAATTGTTGGGATGCCACGGAGGAAAACTCCGTGTTGCCTAGACCACGGCCTTGCCCAACACAAGTTATAAATTCGGGCACCGCCGGGAATCGAACCCGAGACCCCAGGATTACAAGGCCAGCGTCCTAACCGCTAGACCACCGTGGTGTGTTTCATGCAAATAATAGATCTGAAAAAGCATCGTTAAAGACTCAAAGCTTTATTTCGAGAATCGCTAATTGAGGCACTCGAGATGTGATTTTGTTATCGGTGCGCGAGGGAAAACGCAAGGGACTATTATAAGCGAAGTCGTGTCGACAAAACAGAAATCCACGTCTGTGATTAAATTCAGAGCACGTACGGACGATGGAACATAGGATTTATGATTTTTCCCCCCTTAAAACATATGTACTTTTAAAAGTCCAATGGTTCTATAGGAAATAAAGTCTATATTAAACATATTTAGTACTTCAAAACAGTGAGAATCACCTGAAGATGCATAATAGTAGTCGAAACATGACGGGTTGGATGTCTGTAATAAACAGTTTACTTGTGGAATTTATGTTGTTCAAACTTCACATATACAGGGTGTGTATAAATTATATTTACAACTTTAAACGTCAATGAAACCTTGGTTAAAAGACGTAGACACGCTGTTTCAGCGTCATCTGTGGAATTTACAACTCGCGTTCTGTAACTCGTGTCGACTTACATGGACCGGGCACAGGCAGCCGGGGTAACCTTTCGACATTTTCATCAGACATCTGTGATAAAAAGAACATCATGACGAGTGAGGTATGTAAAAAGAGAGCGTTAGAAAAATATGCGCATTCCAAATGGGCTATATATTTTTAAACGGGCGACGTTTAGAAGAATTATCATAAACGCCTTTCGTCATCTTAGCCGCATTTCGTCATCTCCTTGCCTTAGAATTTCCACGCGAGTCATTTCCCATCGTCACTGTACCTTCATCTGGTGAACACTTCTCCATAAATTCGTCATGTTTATTCTCAACTATCTGTAGTAAAAGTATTTTTCATAACCGAGAGAAAGAAACATTCTGATAACGCTAATT